TTCTAGTTATAATGGCAGATACGAGTTTCTCTCTCCCAGCTGCCTTTGAGTTATACGTGACATGACAGTCCGATTCAGACATTAATTGGTGTTTTTTGCTAAAAGCTTGTGTGCATACGACTAAAGTAAAGAAAGATCCACCAATCGATCTTTTGGACAAGACCCACTACTTATTATTTTAGAGAGAGAAAGAGAAGCTACGCATATGAATCCATCCAAAATACCAACTGCATGATTTGACGTTTCAGATTCTGTACTCTGATCATCAACCCCATCCCTCCGGACAACGTTTCCCTCTATTTCTACTACTTTCTCTCTCTTGATCATCATTTTTTTTTTTCTTCTCTCCTCCTTCTCTTGTGTATTTATATATGTGTTTCTTCTGCGACTATTATTATTCTTGCCCATTTTCTCGATCGACTTGTAAGACTCATCAATATTGGTACATGGTGGCATCTCAATCCCGCAAGTGGGTTTTCTTTTTAGAAAAATACAGGTCGAATTATAACATTATTCCCACTATATGTAAACAACCAAATTGTACTCTGCATGTGGGTTTTAATTTTGTTTATATATATATATATATATATATTAAAGAAGAAGGAACTATGTACTGGGGTTTTGATTGAGTCAGCGTGACACAATATCTGTCATCTTGCTAAGAGAGAGGTGTGACAAATTACCGTAATCTAATTAATTATAGTAGAGTTATATTAACTTGTATCTTAAAAATATTATAACGTAATTCTTTAGGCACAAAAAAAAAAAAAAAAAAAAAACAAAATTTATAACGTAATTAGTATACGTACTTTTTTTGATACTTGCTTAAGGTGTTACATATCCGAAGTGAGCAATTAATTACTTGGAGACAAATTATTTAATTAAGTTGCTTAAGTTGAATATTTAAGTAAAGTATTGATTACTTTATCATTATATATATATATATATGCACTTTTGATGTCTTTATAAAAAAGTAATCACTCACGTCTATCTTACACGACCGTCTCACAGATGCTCAATGTAATTTTATTATTTATTAGGTTGTTTTAACTTTTAAGTAATTCGTGTGGATTTTCTTTTTATGTAAAGCTGTTTGCATAAATAGTAGAATTTGTTAAAGTGTAGCTAGTCAGGAATCTCTCAAGAATGTTTGCTTGATTGTCTATATATATATATATATATATATATATGAATGACTATGATGTATCCTGTACACCGTATAAGTCGATATTCCAACAAATTAGTTTTGTGGATTTCAAGGCATCATCTGCCTGCATGCTTTTCCACCGAATCAAGGAACCACTTATATCCATTTTCTGTTCAAATACTTATGATTTTCCCACATATATCCACGGTTTAAAATTCATGATAAATAACAAATGTCAGAAACTAACTCAATTGTGCGTTCGTTATTTATGTAAAGAGTTGTAAATTCACAACTGACTTATGTACATGAATTGATTGTGTTGAAACATGCAAGTCGGTATAATATGTATACTTATAAATAATTGGCTATTGCTTTCAATAGTTAAGTATCACATAATGGCTTGATAATTACATAAGTCCATTTTAACAAATATATTTCATATCACACCACACAATTATTTTTCTTACTTAATTATGAATTTTTAATTTTATGAAGTTTTACTTATCAAATTATCATGTCAAAATTAACAAGGCTAAAAAAAAAAAAATGTGAACATCTAAAAATTCAGATAAAAAACTTGCTACTACTAAGTCCCTACTTTTTCATTCTACCAAAAAAAAAAAATCGCTATTTTTTCACACTCCCACATAATGACTTATGTTCATTATTTCAAACTATATTGTATGCACTTTTTCTTCTTTTTCTGATCTCTCTCGTAGTGTCTAACATATATAAAGCCGATCATTGACCCAAAAAAAAAAAAACAAAAAAAACAAAAACAAAACAAAACAAAAAACATATATAAAGCTGGCCCAAATATGTGAAGATTGTATAAACCCACGGCTTTCTGCGTGGGATCCCCAAATCATGGAATGTCATATCGGTTATCAACCATACAAATTAGCAGTAGTCGTCAGAGCTAAAAAGAAAAAGGAGATCATAGAGAAGGAGAAAGAGAAAAAGACATATATATTCAGAAAAAGAAAATGCACAATGTTCAATGGAATACACTTGAATAAAGTTCAACAATACATGATAGCAATTACCTTTTTTTTTTTTTTTTTTTTTTTTTTTTGGCTAATCCATGATAGCAATTACTTGTAAAACAAAACAAAGTTGAAAAGGAAAAGCACTCGTACTTGAAAAGGTAATAATAAAGGTGTTAAAGACGCCTTCCTAAATAGTTAGGAAATGTCATCAACCTCATAATTTTCCAAATTTGTATAGTTACAAATATATATATATATATATTATTCAATTACTAGTACATTGAAAAACTATATATATAATAGCTGATCATGTATATTCACAGAAGTACCATGTATTTCTGATCAGTGGAATCCATTGGCTGCTTGATGAGTTCCCTGATGATCTCCAGGGATTGTTTGGTCCAACTTTGCTTGTTTATTCTTGGTACCATCGAGCTTTAGCCCAAAGTGGATGTGAGGAAAATGTGCCCACTGCATGGAACATCTTTTAATTAAAAAAAGAACGAGAGAGGAATTTGTAAAATAAAAGAAGTAAAAAAATTATATTTCATAGATTTCTTTTTTGTAAATTAAAACAAGTACAAATTCGTGAAGAAAATAACGACAATAAAATTATTGACACAAACAATTAGGAAAAACAAGAATAATTTACTCAAAATCTCATATTTTATTAGCAAAAAACAAAAAGAAAAAGAAAAGGTCAATTTTCACACCAAAAAAAAAAAAAAGTAATTTCAGGTCTCACTACAAAAGGGCATTGCTATATAGCCCGACTAATGCTAAAGTATCGTCGGCTTGACAATTCTTTGTTAATAATGCTACAAAATAAGACATGGGGGTCCCTTTGTTGTCCTATGCTAACGGATATTAATGTGGAAAATGTCGAAGAAAAAGTCGATAGCTCAGTCCGCGTTTTATCGCGTTTGTGCTTGGAAAGTTTTCCCAATAAAAAAATATCCTTGTGCAAAAATTTTCTTAAACCTAGCATGGCCATAAATCATGCATCTAGTAAATAATTAAGGTACATGCACGCTCAATATTGTAATAAACTAGATTTTACTTTTTTTTTTTTTTTTTTTTCCATATCTCAGTGTGTAGAAGAATATAATTCTAATTTAGGTTACAAAAAAATATATATATTGACTTTGTTCTCCTTTACTCGTATCACTTTTTTATTTTTTTATTTTTTTATTATTATTTTTTTTTTGCTTTGGTAATTTCAATGTATAATGCCCAACTAGTGTAGGCGGTTTTTATTTCAGGTGCAACATTTTAGATCTTTATAATTACTTGAGACAGATAGTTTAGCTTGTTTGTTTTGATGTTTTCCTAATTAATCTATATTATTAATTAATTATGAGGACAGATTTCACCACCTTTAGGAGAGAAATTAAAGATACAACAATGAAATGAAAGGAATTTCATTAAAAAGGAAATGAAAGCAATCAATTAAACCTTATTTTCTTTTATATGCATAACAAAAAGTTACTTACATTTTTTGCTGCTGTGCTAAAAGCTTCCCTGTGACTAATGTCTGGATTACTAGCTTTAATCCTTTGAATTTCCTCCCTAGACAGTGAAACAAATTAATATTATATCATGTTACAGAAAAAGTATTGCAGATTTTTTTTCTTAAATGAGCAAAAACTTTATTGGAAAGAAAATAAAAAGTTCTTACAAGCTAAAATATATAAAAAAAAAAAAAAAACACATGCAAAATTATGTCACAAGGAGCAGTGTCTATAATGTATAATGTTTTAGCACGGTGAAATTAGTTGTACTGTATTGCATGATACTGTTTATTGTGTAGTAGGCATATATACAAACTCAATACATGATACTATAAATAATAATGTTTTCCTTTCAAAAAAATAAATAAAGAATAATGTTTTATTACAATTTATCATGACATACAAAACAAAACCTCAATTCATTTACAAAACAATAGATTCCATTAGGATTTGCACTTCCAACTTTAATATAATAATTAGTGAATTCTCAGAAATCAATTTGCTTATAAAAGACAGGATACTGAGACTGCATATATATAATTTATCATGACATACAAAACAAAACCTCAATTCATTTACAAAACAATAGATTCCATTAGGATTTGCACTTCCAACTTTAATATAATAATTAGTGAATTCTCAGAAATCAATTTGCTTATAAAAGACAGGATACTGAGACT